GAGTCCACACAAAAGTCGACACAAAGCCCATTCCAACTCCAACACCAGAGCTCTTAGCAGATGCCCCATCGAAGCCTGATGAAACTCCAAGAGCATCCAAAAAGGATAGGAAAAAGAAAGATGGAGAGGCAGATCAGGATGCAGATGATGTTCGAAAGTATGCTGAGGAGCATCCAGATGAGGACAGAGACATTGAGGTTGAAGTCCAAGAGACAAATGTCAACCAAGGCGGGGCGACATCCGCTTCCGCTTCAGCTGAAGACACTAAGGCAGAAGCAGACAAGTCAACGAAGAGACCAGCAGAGGTCAGTGCAGAGGAAATGAGTGAGGACAAGCAACAGAGAGGACGCTTCGAGAAGAGTCAGACAAAGAGGAAAGAGGAAGCCCAAGGTGGAAGTGCAGCAAAGGTCGTGCATTTCGATCCTGACGTACCAGCTCAAGAACCGGTGACCAAAGCGCAGAAGAAGGAGGAGAGTAAAGACCAAGAGAGGCAAGTGAGGAGAATCGAAGACATTGAGCTGTATGATGAAGATGAACAAGAAGTAGCAGCAGAGGAGGATGAGGATTCCTACGATTGGAGTCAAGCAATGCCATCGAGTTCAGAAGAAATGATGAGCCAGGAGGAGATGAAGAGAAGAGGCTTCTTCAACGAAGGCAATGGTCCGCCACAAGTTAGTGTGGAGGAGCTACAGGTCTTGGACCAGCAGGCAATGTTGAATGAGGTGAACCGACTTCATGACCTGCAAGTGATTGCCAACTTGGAAGCAGGCGAGAACGTAGACGACGCCATGAAGCTGGACACAAGAGTTGTTTTCGATTGGAGGTTCAGAGAAGGCAGTTGGATCCGAAGGGCTAGGTTGGTTGCTCGTGAGTTTAGAAGTGGAGCAGCATCCAGCATTGACACCTTTAGTCCTACGAGCCCTTTGGCATTCATCAAACTGCTGATGTCACTTTGCGCGACCATGGACCTGATGATCTCAGTGATGGACATCTCTGATGCTTTCCTACAGGTTGTCCAAAAGGAATTTGTGGTGATTGAAGTGCCCACATGGATCCGAAGGATCATGAACAACGAAGGTTTAGTTTTCTGGAAGCTGATGCGCTGTTTACCAGGTCAGAGGAATGCCGCTTTAGAGTGGCACAAGCACTTCAGCGCCCTTTGTTCAGATTTCCAGTTTCGGCCATTTCGAGGAGGCACGATCTACAGACATGAAGATGGAAAGCAGTTTTTGTCTGTGCACATTGATGACATCATCTTAGTTGCAGCAGACGAAGAGCATGGCAAGTTTATCAGCCATTTCTCCAAGCTCCTGAAGTTGAAAGCAGATGGTCCCTATGGAACCTCACGACCTGGGACTTTGTTTTACCTCAAGAGACGATTGACATTTGATGCTGATGGCTTGGAGATTGCTGCAAATGGCAAGTACGTGCCGAAGTTGATCAGCATGCTCAAGATCCAGGATAGGCGGGGCCGAGGTGTGCCTTCGCACTCTAGCCTGGATGTTTTCGATGCTGCAATGGTCTCAGAGGAAGAGAGGCTGAATGCTGAAGACAGCAAGTTGTTTAGAAGTGCCCTTGGTCTATGTCTCTACTTAAGTCAAGAGAGGATTGATGCGCAGCACAGTGTACGATTGTTGTCAACGTACATGGCAAATCCGACCAAGACAGCACTTGCAGCCATCAAGAAACTCACGTCCTACTTACAAGCAACACGAGGCATGGTGCTTAGGTACGAGAAGAATGATGGTCAGAACAGTGTTTTCGGCAGATGGAAGAACCTCAGAGCTGAGCAGATGAAGAGAGGAGGCAACCACAAGTTGGAGCTGTTCAGCGATAGTGACTGGGCATCCTCGAAAGCTTCAGGAAGGAGCACCAGTTCAGGTTTGATCTTCCACAACGGCAATTGTGTCCACTCACATTCCAGAGGACAAACATCAGTGGCGCTGAGTTCGATGGAGGCTGAAGTTTTGGCCGCCACAGGCCTTCTCGCTGAAGGAGTAGCCTTGAAGCAGGCGTTGCAATTCCTTCTTGGTTGCAAAGAAGATCCAGGTGAGAATGTTGAGGTGGAGATGAAGCTTTACCTGGATTCGACTTCAGCTCAGGCCTTTTTCCAGCGCCTAGGCCCAGGCAGGGCCAAGCACCTTTGTACCCGCATTTTGTGGGGACAAGAAGCGATGAGAAGAGGATGGTTCAAGATTGGTCGCATCCCGACAAAGGAGAATCCAGCTGATTTGAACACCAAGGCGCTTAGCAAAGAACGAAGGGAATACTTGGCACAACTCATTGGACTATGCAGTGAGAGCTTTCAACCTGTGAGTACACCAAGTGTTCAGCGCATTGTACAGTTGATGGTGATGGCTGGATGGTTGAAGGGATGTGCACCAGAAGAGGACAGTTGTGAAGGAATGAAGTCGACAGTGCGCCAGTGCACATGGTGCATCTTGTTGTTGGTCATCACAGTGTTGTTTCTTCTTTTTGTGATGTCAGTGATGGTTTTCAACTTGCAGAAGTTTCGAGCATCTCTGTCACGATACAAGACGGCATGGAAGGAAATCAGAGCAGAGTTAAACTTGAGAAGAAGAGAAGATCCAATGAGGATGGCAGGTGATGCTGACACAGAAAATGAAGGCGAAGAAGAAGAAGCAGACGATGAAGCCGATGACAACGACGACGAGCCACATGATGATGATGACGATGATGGTCATGGCTACAATCCTGGTACAGGAGATGACAACCCGTGGTACTCAGACGTGCCAGTGACAGGCACGAGACACGACACTCCAAGACCGAGGAGAAGGATTGTACAGAAGTCCAATGGCGACATTGCTGCCGGTCGAGGAAGCAGTACAACAACACCAACAGCAGCAGTAACAGTTTCCGCAGAGGATGAAGAGGCGCCAATGAGGCCAGAGAGGAGTGTTCAGAGTGAGGCTGGTCACACCATGGAAGCGCCTGAAGATGATGAAGAAAATGAGGAAGTTGAAGATGAGATGAAAGAGGAGGAAGAAAGCGAAGAGCCGAGTTCCTCAATGGGCCAAGAGCAGGTGGTGCCCAGGAGAAGAGGCACAGAGGCTGAGAGAGAGGCAATGATGGAGAACGACATCTTCCGTCCGAGCCTTTCAGACATGGTGGCAGAGGACCTAGTGAACTTCGGTCTCAGGCCACAGCAGCTGATTGAGAACAACGAGGCCAACAGTGGCCGTGGCTGGTTTGTCCTGGGATCCATCCAGGCAATGTTGCCCTGGGGTGAAGACGGCATCCCGTTCAATGAGGAGGAGTTTGAAGAGTTCAGGCGAAGACTCCTGAACGAAGGCCATGGTCCCGAGGTTTCGTTGACCTTGGCATGCAAGAATCTCAACGAGTTCATCAGAGAACTCGAGTACCAGAGAGGTCCTGCGCTTCGACAGGAGATCAAAGATGCCAGGAACACCCTGAAGTACCTCCAGCATTTGCTGTTGCTTTGCGGCAAAAGAGATGGAAGGACCTACAATGCAGCCACGATCACGTTCAACAAGTGGATGGAAAGTGGAAACAGTCTCAACTTCTTTGATGATGATGAGACAGTTGTGGATGAAGAAAGAGCAAGCGAAGGTTCAGCAGCTGCAGCAGCCAGTGGAGAAAGGAGAGATGAGCAGCTGGAAGAATGCGAAGATCCAGATGTGTGGATCGAAATGCACTACTCCAGTGGAGAAGACAATGAGACTTCAGAGAACGAAGAAGTCGAAGTGGAAGAAGAAAATGATGAGGAGTATGAAGAAGTGGAGATTGAAGAAGAGCCCAATGCAGCAGAAGATGAAGACAAGGAGAACAGGACACCAGAGTGAAGGTCAGCGACAACGCAATCAGTGCTTGAGGCACGGATGAGACCCACTCTGAGAGTCATGATGTTTCACACTGGAATTTGGAATTTTGAAGGAAAAGAATAGGGTTCACTGAGAGGCCAGCGAACCCTAAGGCGGGGTGTGAGAAGTTAGCATGAACACCCTGCTGCAAGAATGACACGCACAATACGATGTGTGTAACACAGCGGTTCAAGCATTCGCGAAAAGCCCGCGACTTTCAGAGAACGGGGACTCCGCTGTCCTCAGATCGCTGGAAAGAAGTGACGTTGTGGGATGACTGGAGTAGCCGAGCTAATGCAGAGCTAAAACAGCTCAAGGAGAACAACGTCTTGGCTGGCGGCTATTCAGCGCAGCTCCAGCGAGTCAGGGACATGATGGACATGATGTTTCCATGGGTTGATCCAAAAGCGTAGGGGGACCATTACGCAATCCGAAATAGCTTTGGGACATGGTTCGAACGACTGCTCATCGTGAGTTGGTAGATCGACAGGTGGCCGAGCGCTTGAAAGATATATCAGAAACATTCTTTTGAGTTCATCGGTGGTACAACGCCAATGAGGGAGAGACTATGCTGGGACTTTGGAACACCATGGTTCATGGTTCTCAAGAAGGCTGATTCCTCCTGCCAACCGGTGCCCCGATCAAAGCTGAAGTGAGATCATGATCACGGCTACACGTTCTGTCTTCACAAGGTAGCACGCCGAAGGCTGTTTGACTTCGACAAGGCCGAAGATGGTGTATGGCGCAAGTGGCGTGACATTGCCACGGAGTGGCGGGAGAAAGCTGAACGTGAGCGTTTGGCAGGCTCGGCGAAGCACCTATGACCTATGAGAAGGAGAAGTGGACAGGATACACCAGCCTGTATCGGAAGCGTGTGATTTTTGAATCCCGGAAAGCTTGAGCTTATTCCCTGGACATGAAGTTGCCCAAGATCCCCAGCAAAACTGAGGAGGGGGAGCACAGCTCATGAAATTTTCCAGGTTAAAAGAAAACTGTTATGAGAAGCGTGTAAAGATTGTTTCAGACACTCTTCGCATGAGCGATTACCGAAGCCCAACTTTGAGGATCAACAAGGTCGCCAGAAACGTGTTGAACGCACAAGACCCTAACTAACATTTTTTGTGGTTGAAAATTTGAGTCAACCAGTTGACTGCCCAGGTGATGACCGCCTCGCTGAACCAAGAGCAGAGGCAAGAAGCGGCAGGACCAAAACGACCAAAAGGACACATTTGTGTTTGGGGGTCGAGTTCTGCCCGGAACCAAATTTATAAAATGTTAACGCGTAAACATCCGCGAAGTTCGCTGCGCATTTTCCAAGCTGATCGAGTGGTTTGATGAACCCACTGCCACTGCTGGCAACAAACTCTGAGGGCGCTGTGTGCATCAATGGGCTTTGTTTGGCGTTTAATGTCACATGAAGTGCACATGAAGCCTCTTTCCATTACGTGAGATCATTGCACGACTGCATATATTGTGTTTGAGTTTTGACATACTGCATCCCAAACCGCAGCTCCAATGATGCGTTCTTGTGTGTTCGGTTTATGTCCGCTCTCAACCACCCTCCATCACTACATTTTGTGGATGTCAGTCTGTTGTTCATTCGCTTGCTGCACGACCCAAGCGTTTTGAATAGATCCCCATGACGCAGCAAATCCGAACTTGTGGAGTGCCTATGCAAGGGTACACCAAATCATCGGTTTGACGCATCCTGTTCAATGGGTGTTCCCTGCCTCCCTGTTTCCATGATGTTTTGTTTGGCTCACAGTGAGGTGCCGGTGCCACTGCAAGAGGTCAACATTGACGCCGCTCAAGAACAAGTCCTTCTCCCAAGTCACCCCTTTAAAGGCATTCAATTGTATCCGTTTGTTTTTTGTACTTGATTTCGGTTGTACTAATTTGGTGTTTTTGTATTCCGACGCATAGCTAATGTATATAATTATGTTTTAAATCAGCCTTGTTTTGATTTTGGTTGGGAGTCATTCAACGACTGTCAACTCTGCCTAGGCTGCCATGGTGCTGCTTGGCCAACTCCAATCTGTCGGTGTCGTTTTCTGTTTGCGTGTGTGTTTGCCCTAGACCTTTTTGCCCTGTTGCGTTTGGTGATTGGCATTAGCCACCGGAGTTTGTGAAACTACAAGCCTTGGATGATCCTTCAGCAAGAACGCTTACAGAGTAAATTCATTGGATCCATGTCAGTTCAGAAGACCACAAGGGTTTTCCTTCGCTGTTTTGTTCTGTCGTATTCCATGTCGATGCCATGGAGAGAAGGAGTTTTCCAAAGATCTAAGGCGTAACAGTAGGTGCAAGGCAAGCAAGATCCTTTGATCAAGAAACGGCTGTATTATGTTGAAATTTGGTTTTGATGTTGAGCCTAGGAATTAACCTAGTAATAAAGGCTCAAAGGGGTCGCCAGGGGTCTCACATTCCCCAGTATTGCCAGGTCACAAAAATGAGTCAACACTGCACAGCTCTGAGGAATACTATTCCTAAAATTCCGCAGGCAGGTGGGTGTCCGCAGGCTTGGTTATTTTACCAGAAAGGTCAGCAATTATGCTAATTGCGTTTATTTTTGGGTATTTGGGAATGGAGCAGCTCCCAAGGCTTGCTCATGATGCAGTTTCAGCATCTTCAAGTGCGTTTCATTTTGTCCAAAAGCAGCGAACCTTGGTGCTCACAACTTTGACAACCGGCATTGAACGTGAAAAGCACCATGAGTGAAGTTCATGTGCATCCACACCATCCGTGTCAGGGCCCATGCTGAAAGCATCCGAAAGCCTAAGTTTGCTGTTTATTTACAGCGCAAAAAGAGATAACGTCTCACACAAGAAATCGCTGTGCTCGGCGGCAGTGTCAAAACATGTCAAGACCAGACTGCAAGGCCGCAGCTGGAAGTGGCCCCACCTACGTTGGTACAGCGCTCACAATACTCAGAATCCACCTTGCAATCGATGGACACGAGTTCAAGTTGTTTGTCAAAGCCTGTGTCTTTTTGACGTTCTTCCAGTTGCACGCAAATCTTCATACACATGCATGTTGAAATACACAGTTTGGAGTTGGACATTTCAGAGTTTCTGGAAGTCAAACTGCTCGGCTGCAACTCACTTTGGGGACATTGCAAGTTGAGTCAGAGCACGCAGACTGTCAGAAGTGCTTGGAGCCCACAGATTCCATGAAAGTCCATGAAACATCAAACACTATTGTTGATCGAACCCCTCTTTGCAGCTCACCTTATTGAGAGGGAGTTTGACTCGGACTGAAACACGCAGCCAGGAATAAAGCGAAAAAGCAAAAAGGATAAAACGAACAGAATGAAAGGTAGCGATTAATTGCTTTCGTCACCAGTGCGATTCCGGTGACTAAGATAGTCTCAGTTTGACAGTCAGGTGTCCAAGACCCGGCGGCACTTCGATCTCCTCAGCGAAGCAACAGGCAACGGTGACAACTTTCCTTTGAGACTGACACTGTCAGAACTTGGGAGGTGCTGCACCTTCCTCAGGATTGTAGTCCAGACGATGCAAAGCTACATGTCCAGCCATTGCAACAAGCACCACGAAGTTCCATTCTCCGCAGAGATTGGTAGTATTTCAGGCCTTTGATTGTATCAGATGGCCTATGCTGCAGTCAGTACAGTTCAAGCAAGCGTTCAACAAAGGGCAAATGGGGAAAGGTCAGGAAAGGTACACTCTGCATCCCAAGATCACTGAATCCTGTGAGCTGCTTGAAGCTGGGTCGTGAACACCGCAAAACTTGTCGGCTACTCTTAGAAGACCTTAGCCTGCACTACTTTGAACTGCTCATCAGCCAGGTCTTTGTCCAAGGCCTCCTCACCATGTCAAGACCTTGGATCCCCTCACTCACATTGCACACAAGAAGCCCACGGATGTCATGGCGTCACAGCGCAGGCTTGGCCTATGCTTCTAATTTCCAGGTGCTTTCAGCCACGGCATTTGGACTTTCTACTCGGATGCGTCGGATGCCTGTTCGAGTTAGTTTTTTTTGTATGTAGTAAGTATATACTATACATATATATATATACATACACAATGAGGATAGGCTTTGGCCCACCCCTCTATCGAATGCCTGGGCATGTCTTCCTTTCACGGCATAGCTTCCTTGAGGCCTTCTTAACGACTGCGCAAGTCACTCAGCATGTGCTAGTGCGCATGTGAGTCCACATAAACACCGGATGAATGAATCTGAAGTGTGTTTGGTGTCGTTTGCGGGATGCCTAGTGGCCCAGTGATAAATGCCCTGCAAGTTTCTTGAGCAGTGTCAAAACACGTCTATAACGATTATATATATATATAATATAGAATTCGTCGTTGTTTGCGAGCTGTGAAGCAAATGAGGGTTGTTGCAAGCGGATACCTTGAACCTGCTTTAACACTCGTTTGGACGCTCAAATTCTGGCGTCTCCAATTCAGGCCTCCAACCGTTCTTCTCCAGCATCCTCTTTGTACAGGCTAGCCTGATTGATTTGAAATTTGCGCACGACCGTACTTGACATTAAAAGACATGAGCAGTTGCTTATTGTAGGGAAAGCCATGTTTTCCTGATGCTACTGAGGTGCTTCCTGTAAAAAACTATTTGCGCTGCAGTGTCCAAGCATCCAGTGAATCCAGTGCTTGCCTTGGCTACCAGCCTTGCAGGAGGCAATCTTCAGATCTGGCTACGGAGAGCCTCCCCGCTTTGCCGTAGCTGAGCTTGAATAGAGTCTTAAACTTTCAGCCAATTCCCTTTGGGAGAGAATCGAGGAATAGCAAAAACATGTTTTTGTTGGTGGCTGTGTGGACACACACACCCGGCATTTCTCCAGTGCTCTGAAACAACCTCACACGAGCCACCATGCAAAAGACAAGTAAGTGGTTCTGACATGACAATGACAACGTTTCTGTGTCAGATCTTGTGACTGTGACGTTCCCACCACAAATGCCTGGTTCGGTATTTTGATGTATCAGCTGGCCATGGCATTGCGATTTCCCCAACTTGAAATTGCATTCTTTGGTCTTGCCAGCTAAAGCGATGCAATCAATTTCGACGGTTCTATACAGCAACGACGGGCCTATACAGCAATGTAGTTTTGCCTCCAAGGAGCTAAAAGCTCGCAAAGCTTGTGTCTACAACAAATAGTTCCACCCTGCTTGCATGCTCAAGAGACGCTCTGAATCCACAGCGAGGCCTACAGAGACTCCTAGACAACTGTTGCCACAGCAAGTGGAGGACTGAACAGTTGGCATGATCTCGCGCTTAGTCTTCCAGCCTTGAAGATGTTGATTACCCGACCGGACCTGCAGGCGCCGCTTACTTCAAAGTCGCGTTCTGACAACAGGTGGTGCTCGTACAGATTGGAATTCATCCAATCTAGAATGTGAGACAAACATATACAGAACATTGCTTGAGCGTGGAAGGGGGACAGCATTCTCAAAAGCCTTCATGGAGGCAGTTGACAAGTTACATCTCATTCGTTATTCGACAATTCCACTATATCCCAAGTAAGTCACTCCGCTTCCAACGCCTGCGCTTCCCGTAGTAGTAGCGCTAGCTTCCAGCATGGTGTTGATGTGAGCGTTCGAACATGTTCCTTCGGGTCGCAAAGTGTATGTTCTGCATGTATTTGTACTGGGTGAATGCTCTAAGTTGGTAGATAATGTGTTGCATTGTAACATGAGTTTGCCACAGGGATTTCGTCCGCAATGGACATGGAGAACCTCCACTCTATTCTTTTCTGAAAATGACAAGATGCAAGCTGCTGATGTGATGACAACCCTTTGCTAGGCCCTGCGGCCTAGAAAGTGGTTTCAGCTGTGTGCCATGGGGACTTCGTTTGCAGTTGACAACATGAGCCTTCAAAAGCTAGCTTTTCGGAGCGGATTATATAACTGCAACCAAGGGGTGTGATTCCAGCTTTGTGAGCGCTTGCAAACAAGATGCCTCCTAGCGGCTGTGCCATTGGAATTCGTAAGGTGCAGTGGGGTAGCTATTGTTTCCCGTATTGCGGGTGAGGTAACTACCACGTGGGAATGGGTAAGTAAGGGCAGCCGCTTGTACTGTTCTGTATCACCTCCATGTACTGTACATTATATACACGTTGCTTGTCACAGCACTAAAGACAAGGTGTTGCTGGTCTTGCTGTGTCCAACTCGGGCTTAGTAGCACCCAAGTTCGTGCAGGCCTTTTTGGTTCTGCGTTTTCTGCACGATTTAGTTCTTTTGAGGCTCATTCCAAGCAATGTGAAGAAAGTGAAAGCAACTGTCAATGCCCCTCCACAGATCGATTTCAGGACACTCTGGACATCAGCTTTGGTCTTGGCCTGTATCTTAGCCTCCGCAAAAGATGACAGAGCCGAGCCAGGAGGTTTTTGGGTGTAGAAGAGTCACTTCAGTAGTAAGAATGCTACTAGTAGCGATGCCAGGAGCCCCTAGTAGCGTCCTTGCTCCCAGTAGTACGGCCAGGAGCCCCTAGTAGCGTCCTTGCTCCTAGTTTTGATTTGTTCTGGGTGTAGAAGAGTCATTTCACAGAGCAACATATCCAGAGCATGGATGTGCATCTTGCGAGGAACCCAAGGCCACGAAGCGGAGGCCGCTAGAGCTGCTCCGTAGGGATCCCAACGCCTGGATGTTCAGCGTTTTGGTATTTACAGTATAGTTTATTTTTATAGCTTATTGTTACTACTAGTAAGGCACTTGTTACTAGTAGCGATGCACTTGTTCCTAGGAGCTTATTGTTTCTAATAGTTTATTTTTAACATAGGGAGAATATGGAACAAAGTTGCAAAAGATGCACAAGAAGCTTTCTGTACAGATGGAAAATTTGTAACGTTTACCTCGCCCAGGAGTCGTCAGGCACGTCTCAATCACATGCTTTGGTTTTTGCGAACGAGAGACCGTTCACCCTCCCACGGTGGGATGATCTGGGCGTGGAGCTGTCAGTTCGACAATTGTGAAAAACGAGGAGCTGAGAGAACGTTGAGTTTCCTTCCCATCCGTGGTTGGCTTAGCCTACCTACCCAAAAGAATGAACAGCAAGAATTGTTGTGTGACCAACCCCAAACTCCTCAGGTCAATCAGAATGTACTGTAGCAGTGACATGTGGGTTTTTGTATTGAAGTCGCGTGACGCAAAACAGTTTCTGTTTCTTAACGATGTTTCCTCCTGCCCGCCTTTGCTTTGCAGACACCCTCCCAACAATATTGTTGCTAAGTCTCGGGGAGATGCGGGGAGTAGAAATTTCGAAGGAGGCGTTGTGCTGTGGAGACGTGTATAATGAGGTGATGCAGGCTGTTTTGTCATGCGATGAAGTCTAGCGTTTGTGGTGCGGGGATTAGTGGTGCAGTTAGGCTCAGGTAGGATATTTTTGGTGATATGTGATGTGGTAAGTACATTATGATGATGTGATGTCTTGTGAATACTAGTGTTTGCTTGTCGAACGATCTGAGTGTGAGTGAATGGGTCTGGTTTTAAGCTGGTTCAATGATGTGCATATTCTCTCACACAGTCTCAAACACCATATTTGGCGTCCTTTGGGTTGCAAATTGTCCAGGAGTTTTTTCTAAACTGTCATCGCAAAGAGTTTCCTGGAGCGAGCCGGGAAACAAATGTTTATGACTTCAATCTCCTTCTTTGGAGCTGTCCAAGGTCCTCACCTGCGTTGGCCTTAGCCTTGGCACAGGTCTCGTGGGCAAAGTTTCATGAAGCGCAGCACACACTCAAAGTGGCATCATTTCGTGCATGGCATGAAAGGCTGGCTCTGCACATACACACACGCATGCACGCTTGTGTACAGCGCAGCTGCAGGCAGAGAAGCCACCAGCAGAGCCTGCAGAGGCGTGACCCCTCTAAACTCTAAACTCTAAACCCAAAAGGGAAAAAAAATTGTAAGGGCTCCGCCCCCTGCCGCCGACCCCGGGGATAAGGCACGAGATCGCCGACGGCGGCAGAGTTATAGGAATGGAAGTAGCAGCTGGTAGCATACAACAGTGCAGATGCACACGACATCGGTCACGGTGGCAA